ATTATTTCAATATCTTTAAGTGTAAATATCTCATTATATCTTAATTAAGCTTTATGTTTTTTGTATAGCTTAATAAAAACGATTAAAACATTAAGCCTTTACATTTTTTTTTGCTTAAATTTATTTTGTGTTTTGCTTATATTTTATTTATGTTTTGCATATGAAAAACAAATTATTCTAATTTTATTTCAATTAGAAAAAACTGTTAAAATTTAAGTAGAAAAAATACATGATATATATGCTTTGTCACTAAACAAAAATAAACCATGAGTTTATGTTGTCAAGATGGTTATAATTAACTTACCTCATATTATTTGGTTTGATTTCTTGAAACAAGAAAAAGCGATTACATTTATACTCAACCTCAAAATTAACAAAGATGACTTGCACCAACGAAACCCTATAAGTAAAAAAGCTAGTACATATATATGATCATAACAGATAACAACAAGAGGAGATTATAGGAAGACGAGACGATTGGAACAATAAAAATAAAATATCAAATCTTATTTTTTTGGCCGCGTTGGGAACTGATCAGAAGAGGAAGCACACATCACGCTGATTAGACTGGAAGAAGCTCATCATCACGTTGGTTAGTATACGTCTGGTAGATGCACCAACAGAAGCTCACGAGAGCAATAACAATTGCAAAGATGGGTAAAATAAGGGAGACGAGTATTGTAGCCGATACTACGCCAAATAAATGGCTAGTACGGCTTACAATATAGTACTTGTCAGTCTTGTTTAGTTTAAGACTCATCTCATAGACCAAAAGAAAGCAGTAGACGAATGCGACTGGTAAGAAACACATAACCGTTATGTGCCGGATCTTTTCTTCGGCTGGGTAATTTGTAGCAGAGCGACGAGGATGCATTTGACGGTTACAATCGTGGCGTGAAAAGCGGCGGTGGTGTGAAATAAATGTGTATTATTAAATTAACTAGATTTTGATCCGTGTCCAAACGCGGAATAAATAATTATGTTGACTAATCGATTTTAACATATATATATTTTTAATATTTAAACATGTATGACAAATCATATGATTTTTAATATCAACAAACGTAAAAAAATATATGTATTATGCATAAATATAATAAATTAAATACTTATTATCAAGCATTTGTTAATGCCATTAGTTTTGATATTTATATATGTAAAAATGATAAAAACATATACAAATGTTACTTATTTCAATATCTTTTAAGTGTAAATATCTTATTATATTTTAATTAAGCTTTATGTTTTTTGTAAAACTTTATAAAATGATCGAAACATTAAGCTTTTGTATTTTTGTTTGCTTAAATTTATTTTGTGTTTTGCTTATATTTTGCATATGAAAAACAAACTATTCTAATTTTATTTCAATTAGAAAAAACTGTTAAAATTTAAATAGAAAAAATACATGATCTATATGCTTTGTCACTAAACAAAAATAAACCATGATATAAGCAAATCATTAGTTTAGTGG